AAAACTTAGAGCTTTTTTTGACCGGAACCATGCACGGTGGAAGTTGTTTAAAATGAACTAATTAGGAGGTTTACATCAAAGAAGAGTCTTGCGTTGAATCTATGAAAAATGAGTCGAATACATTAGAAAGAATGATAAGACACGGAATTTGGATTCTCTCCTCCCGTCCCTCCCTAATATAGGCAGCCTTCGGTTAAATTCCACGAAGTTTATCTATTCCCGCGTTCTATCTTTAACCTTCCAAGTATTTAGAGTACGAGCGCTTGTACGATGGAGAATCTATCGAGTGATGTTAAGGCTAACACGTTTTAACCCTAACGGCTGCGGTCTTCCAAACCCGGTTCCTTTGGAGATGGCAGAGAGGTCTTTGGAAAGCCAGTAGGAAGAGTGTATTTTAGAAGAAGAGGAAGCGATCACTGGAACAAGAGTTTTATTGTCCTGACGTTTCTGATTCCGTCGGGAATCCTTAGTGTATTTAGTACAGATGGAAAGGAAAATAGATAGTAGGAGGTTCGACTATCAGAGCACACGTGCAGCCGCGAGGCGAGCTAGGTACGAAGTGGTGTCTAGCGGCAGCCATGGCCTTAAGGTCTGTCCAGACGGATTGAGGTCGCACCACTGTGGGTTGAGGCCCGCCGAAAACTGCCTCAACGCGAGGTCCTATGCTCTGAGTGACATCGTCAATGGCGTCACACCTTAAGAGGGACTCGGGCAGCAGCGACCACCACAAGTCCTACTTCCGTGTCTTAATTAAAAAAACATTTCGCTTTGAAATTTGCTCGTGTTTTGAAAACTAGATGGAGGGCTCCGATAAATAAAAGCTTAAATATTAAAATAGATTAGTCTAGGCTTGTCTTCGTCCCCATGAAAGTTTAGGCTGACAGTCGGACTGATGAGCTCTCCTTATACCAGTCAAAACTTGGGCCTCTTCGATGCTGGAATTTGATTAGTTGCCTGTCTCCCTTTCGAACGCGTCATTTAAGGCACAAATGACTGCACGCATAATTAATGGTGAATCGATCGGACTTTGCGCGGGCGCGCTGTTTTACGACGTTTCCTCCTCTTTTACGCTGCCATGCAGACATATTACCATCTTGACGTTGCTCTGCCTCTTAACTTTGTACAGTCTCCTTCTTAAAGTTGCAAAAATTCCCATTAGATAATTCAGAGGAATATCTGCCGAGCATACGTAACTTTCGATAAATTCTCCTCGGGCCATTACATTTACATTCTCCCCCTTCTACCCTCCCCCGTCTCCGGATTAAAAAAAACCCTTATCGCCTCGCAACCAGCCACGTACTATCAACCCCACCTGCCTCCCCTATTCTCATGACTAATTTAACTGTAACGATGAACCTACTTACCAGCATGTTACTTTTTACCCCCTCCCTATATAAATGTAATGGCCGTAGGGGAATTTATCGAAAGCTATGTATGCTCGCCAGATATTCCTCTGAAGTCTTCTTTTTGTTCGTTTTTCGTTATGTTCAAGCCCCTTCAGCTTGACTGCGCAAGACAGTGATGCGTTCGGGGCATGTTTTGGTCCTTCAATCGCGTTTTCTTGCTCAGTGCTTATCCATTTGTATTAATAGCAGCAGCCTCGACCGTGTGATGTGGTTCTAGTCTGGAAGTTGTTGAGGGAACCATCGAGTTTGCCCGTTTAAGGATCGCAGTACATCCGTACAGCTAGAATTTGTTTGGCCCTGGTAAAAATTCTCTAAAGCTTTTACTTTACCGGCAATGTGGGCCAGTCAATCAGTGCACTTGAAGAAAATAGGCTTACGCCTTTGAAACCCCTGTTTTCACATAAAATCTCAGGGATCAGAAGCAATGTAAAGAAAGTTCAGTCAGATGAATTTATTCATATTTATTTTTGGCATTTTAAGTTCATTAGTAACACAGTGCACGTTTTGCTACCGCATATGGATATTATGCCATTGCTCGAATGGCTCCACAAAGTGGTATATAGCAATCGCCTCGCGTTTAAATAATCCAATGTTTTCGCAGCCCGCCATAAATAAACACAGAAATTTACATCAATTTCTTACTTATAGTTTATTGGGTGTGACAAATTTGGACACTTTTGACTTATTTATACTTAAGAGTTTATTGGGTTTCTTGATGTTCCTGAAAAAACGGTGGTTAGGAGATCGCCTACTTCAACTTACCTGATGTCCAACTTACCGTTCTGAAGTTAGATTTGTATATTTTGCGCCGCGCAAAACTTCAATTCATATGCGCAGTAACTTTATATTTAAGTTAAATTTTCAGTTTATCTTTCAGTTTATTATTATGTTTAATATTTTTATTTCGGTTAAGTGAGTGAAGCTTACTTTAGTTTACGTTTCTAGTTTGCTGATTTTAGTTTTAGTTAGTTATTTTTAAAATTTAGTTATTTCCCAATATTTGCGTAATGGCACGTTTTAATTATTGCACGCCCTTTTGTGGACTAACATTGGAATATGTTAATAATTATTCCTGTATTTTCTACTTTTATAAGCTGTATTTTTTATTTATATTTCCTTTCCTTTTTATTGCCCCGAATGTATACTCTATTACGCCCGGTCCTGTATTACAGAAGGAAGGGCCTTTCGCGTGCTGATCTGGGACTCAAAGCAGGATGCTACCCTCACGTCCAATCTTCTATGCGGCACCCGTATCTTAAAGGCATGTCCCCGGGGGTTAATTGTATTGGCGAGTTGTAAAAAAAATGCATCATACCTTATAGGCGCACTTCAAGGCACTCTCGATACGGAAAGCCTGTATCAAGTTTTCACATTACTGCCTATATCTCAGAGGATAGAAATTAAGGTTATTTAGGTGGATATCATTTAGTAGTGCTCTTTGGCCTTGTGGTCCACCGCTGCACCCTTTGGAGTA